TGCATGACTGCGATGTAACGAACTAAATTCCCCCATTTTTTAGGCGGATCAGCACTCATGGGCAGCTGTCCAATGCAAAAAGTTTGAGCCGCGTAGGTTCCCTATCTTTCGAGATTGCTCTGGTACGTTAATTTTGACGAACACTGTAGATCTAAACTCATTCCTGAAATTAATTGCTCTTTGAACCGTGATAGTGCCACAAATTTCCAACCCAATCGCACATTCAAATTCCTTGTAGTTACAAATTGATGCCGGACTGGAAAATCCATTCAAGCGCGTCATTTTGGAAGTTGTGTCAAAATGTTAATTTTAGAAGGCGCTTGGAATTCCAAGTCGCCGACACGCCCTTCAATCTAAATGCTTCTCATTAATGTGTTTAACTAATGTTTTCTCATTAATCCACTTGTGGGAATACATCCTCCTTGAACGGATTTTCGCTCGATTGCCTTCTTCAGGTGAAGGAATTCCTGATTCCTGGGCGTAATTCAATTTTCATTCTCTTGTACTAAGCAATAAATGATTTGCATAACCTGGAAATTCTCTCGATCGTTCTTTGAGAAAAACTACCAATCCCAGGGAACTCCCGGTTACTTTCTCGTTTCGGTTTTTGGCGAGAAAATCAATCCATGGCTCGGAAATAATCAGTCTAAAGTGAAAGTAGGATATGAAAAAGGGATACCCCATTTAATGAGAGACGCCCGTGTATTTCATATTTATTTATTTATTTATTTTTGTAAATATTTTTTTTTTACGAATGAGAATAATATCTATGAGAAAACATTACCCATTACGTTTTCTCCTCCCCAGCCGGACTCTACTGCTTCAACGTCACCATCAACGAAACGGTGAGACCCTTAAAAAGCGAGGCGATTTCGTGATCTGCAGAGTTTCAACAGGGAAATTCGCGACTCGAACTTTGCAGGCGCTGAGAGAGGCCCATCGGGGTTGCCACGACGACGTGGGCCAGAACGACACGCTTTCCCACCGAGAGAATGTGAGCCTCCTTTGCCGATTCCGAGTGTTTGGCAGATGCGAAAAAAGTAGTGCATTATAGCCAAACGGTGGCTGGTTCCTTCGCAGGAGGTTCAAAAGCCAATACCGCAGATGCGATTGCTAAGCCAAGTCAGATATCGACGTAAAATGTAATGAAATTCGGAATCTCGGACACCTCCAGTCGTTTGTTAACCAAAGCCTTTCCTTTTTAACCCTCGGAGCAAAGCTTTTTACCGGCTGAGTTAGAGAGAGAGGTGCAAGGGGTCGAGGAATCCGTCTTTTCGTCGTCTTGCCTGAAAATCCAAGTTTAATGTAGCTATTCTTCTAGAAGTGAAAGGAAGGAATGGATTTTGCAGTCTGCCATGAGAAGAGAGTGCACCTACGTGGCGATGGGGTTCATGGACCAGACGGGGAAGGTGTCGGCCGACACCATCATCGGATTCCTCGGGGACGGCCTCTCGAGCCAGGTGAGGGACGGACGCGAGGCGGGTTAAGTCTTAAGTTCCAAGCTGCTTAAGTCTTAAGTTCCAAGATGGTCATTCGCTCGCCTGCGTCTTTCAGTACGAGACGTCGCTGAGAAACTGCTCGACCGCGACTCCGGCTACGAACCAAACACAGGTGAGGCCCCGTACGATAACGTTATCTCATTCCATTGCGAGTCTCGATTCCATCGGAGGAATAGGGCGTTTTCAGAATTTCCAGACGAAACTAAAGTTTCGGTCGTGGTTCTGTACCGCGAAAAAGTTCTCTCGAGTACTGAAGGAACCTCGTACGAACCACAAAGTCCCAACTCATTTTTAAAATTGCAGTGTACTATGCTTCCCAAAAGCATTTACGCATGATGCTTCACACAGCAGTCGGGCGTCCGATCGAATAAACATTGGGAAAAGCATTAGAAATGTTCGGAATTAAAGACTGTCTGTGCCTTCCCGTAAGAGGTGCTCTGTTCGTGAACCTCTGCCCCCCCCCCCCCCCC